CCCGAAGGACTTAGGCTACCTTATGTCGTGAGGCGTAAGAGTTTAAAAGTAGAGAGCCGGGTGTACCGTGTCTTTCAAAAGCTCACTTAAAATACATACATTCAGCCTTAGAAAGTTCAGCTTGTCCGAGTTATAAAAAAAGGAAACCAAAAAACCGCGGTCTCTTGTATTCCGCATAAACTTCAATTTCCTTAACAGCAAGTATTGAACATGCATTATATACTTGAAAAATTGAGAACATGACAAGAGTCAAGTAGGTTGAATTATGTTGCAAAAAAATCATTGCTATTATTACTGAAATAAGGGTGGAGGTGGTGTAGTGGCAGGTGGCACACTATTTCACACGCACGGTCAGGGGTTCGAATCCCGGATCGATACCCGCCCAGGCCGATCAAACCTTCCATCCCTCCGCGGTCGATTAATTGGTACCAGACTTGTCTGAGAGGATGAAAGCACTGACATGTACATAAGCTGGCCACCGCAAGTCATTGTACAGGCCACATAGGCACTCATTACGCCACTACGATTCTGATTGGAAGTCGAGTGCGGGGCGCATCCCTCAGACGTGATTGATTAACGCAAAAAACCTTATCCTTGTTGTAAACTTTATTATTTAAATAAGGAATTTGTTCTATGACAGCAGTCAGCATATATAGAAAATCTCATCCTTATTTCTGGATGCAGCTTTCAAAGATTTTCACATCTTCTCTACATATATGCAGGGCTCACATCCTGGCAATTTCACAGCCGAGTGATAAAGCCGCAATGGCGTGCACGTGAGCATCAAGTGGAGGACGAAAAAATGACGGCCTGTCAGAGCAAAGACCTACTGAACGAGAAGGATGCCAAGTTTCTGAGTTTCGAAAGGGGATATGCGGCTTGTTGAAAGCGGTGAAGCAGTGACGGGAGTGGTGACATGGTCAAGTGTCAAATACCATTTCATGGAAGTCAGCTGGCTTTGATTTGGGCATGTAACCAGGGAACCTCTTGGAATGGTGAAACAACACAAAAAGCCTCCGGTATGCTGTTGAAATGGGGGTTTGAGAATGATACATGAGAGTAAGGAACAATGTCAGATATGGGCTAGCGAGAAGACGAAAAAGCCTTCTGGGCACTCCAATCAGTCAGCCCCCTGCACGACCTTATGAGTTACAGCACCGCATTCCATCTGATTCTGAAAGCATCGAAATTTCGGAAATGACCCGTGAAAAAAGTTTTCATGTACATTTTTGGTGTTTTAATATGCGTCAACAGCAACCTGTAATAAGCCTGTAATGAAATTAGTATATTTTTATTGCAGCTCTGCATATGATTTGCTTCTGAAAAAATTGCCTCCGTGAAACTCATGAATTGCCATTGCATTTTTTGCAACCATAGATCTTGCAGACTTTGAGATANTATGCTGTTGAAATGGGGTTTGAGAATGATACATGAGAGTAAGGAACAATGTCAGATATGGGCTAGCGAGAAGACGAAAAAGTCTTCTGGGCACTCCAATCAGTCAGCCCCCTGCACGACCTCATGAGTTACAGCACCGCATTCCATCTGATTCTGGAAGCATCGAAATTTCGGAAATGACCCGCGAAAAAAGATTTCACGTATGTTTTTTGGTGTTTTTGAATGTGTCAACAGGAGCCTGTAATGAAACTACTACATTTTTATTACAGCTCCGCATATGGTTTGCTTCTGAAAAAAATGTCTCCGTGAAAATCATGAGTTGCCATTGCATTTTTTGCAACAATAGATCTTGCAGACTTTGAGATAGTCGCTCGGTGAGGCGTCGTGAACACGGCCAATAACATTCTAGAACAAAATAGTATCAGTGGCTCCTAGATCAACCGATTGTCAAATTGTGCATAATGTACTACTCATTGTTCTCGTTGCTGGTGCAGGGATTCAGTGACTGTGCAAAATATTGTTGAATCTTGGATTTTGGTTGTTGGTGAGAGACTTCTTTAGAATTTTTCATGGCAAAGGATCTCATTCTCTGTGGAGTCTGCTCTCGAAGTGTAAAATTACGAGTGGAAAGTAGTTCGATGAAGCCTGCACGTGCTTTTCCTACCCCGAGCACGCTCCCATTCGACCCCGGGTGGCAGCCAAAATTTCGTTGTTGAATTGGGATATCTGCAGCATTTGACCACTCTTCAATTCACTTGTTTACAGATCTAGAATGCCAAGCCTTCAACTCAGCGCAAAATCTTCAATTGTTAAACGGGAATTTATTGCCTAGAGCTGGATCCGTTTGAAGAGCCGAGAAGAAGCTTCATCTAGAGATTCTGGAATGCACCATCCTTCGGAGATGTGAAAAAAGCGCAAGTCAATTCGTTGCCGAACTAGTGTCGCCATATTACTGTATGAAAAGTTTTGCCTAAAAAAAGGTAAAGCACCTGGTATCTCGGATCTTTGGTTCGTATGCTGANGATTTGTAATCATATGGTACACCGTAAGTAGTTGCTTCAGACGGACCGACTTTGTCGAATTGACGGTGGTACTCTGAACATTCCTTTGAACAAAACAATGCCAATCTAAGCTGTTATTCTGAAGTCGAAATCAACCAAAAAGAAATCAATTCATTCTCATGTACGTAGGTCTTAACTCCTTATTAGTACTATAAATATCGGAATGACCAGTGCCACCATGGGATGTAATATTTCTCGCTTTGAAAGGACCAATTTTTGCTGTTTCTTTTAGTTCTTTGTCCATCATTCAGGTAGTTTGCTTGAGCTGAGATAGTTCGCTAGTTTGAATAAAAGTTATGGAAATATAATAGTGCCTTCAAGAGGTTCAATAAGGAGGTTACAGAGCTGCAGTCAAACTTTTTTACAAAACCCCCACGTCCTTTCTAAAAGACCTACCCCCTTTGAAGAGACTTTGTTTTTAAGTTCCATGTACGGCTTTCTATGAACCTCGGCATAATTGTATTACTGAGTTTATTGCTGTCTTGAACT